CGGAAAAATTTATCGACATTCGCACCTAACACACAGAGCGCGTGTAAGGAAAGCGATCGGAGCAATGGCGCGCGAATTCATCGCAATGAGTCACGAGATAAGTTTGTTGTTAGTCAGATTAAATAGATTAGCACCATTGTGACGAGCGTGACGCGCGTTGTAGCGCGCCCCGCGGAACAGGATATGGCGCGTTTCGACTTCCACGCGTGTACGCGTGTACTACGCGCGAACGCACGTGCCTGCATCTCAAATCACACGCATATAAACGAACGCAAACGAAGGCATACGAGGAAGCGCAACGTCCGCGTGGCGAAACGAGTTTTTCACGTCGCAAAATCAGTCATGTCACAGTGCAATATTTTGTTTGTAACAGTTGAGAGTTAATTTAAGTTCCCCTTTCACTCACCACTATTATATCTCATATTGTGATGCAGAAATAAGAATATACAAAAAAAAAATCCTTGAATCCTTAGAATCGCCTTCAAAATATATTAAAAAGTCTCCTTTTTTATTTCTCCATTAAGTAAAAATAATCATACGCGTCCGGAAATGAATTATGCATAACTGAAAACGAAATTCACAGTTAAGTATGACAAACCGTCAAATTAATAATATATAAAAATAAATATAATAAGTAATTTAATTTTTTTCCAAAACAAGAAGATAATTTTCAGTATATTTTATTACAGTCTACTTTATTGATTTGTAAATGTTTTATTAAAAAAATATTTTTATTCAAATCATTTTATATATATTTTATATATATTATATATAATCTGCAAGAATGTTTATTGTATGTGTGTTCTCTCAAATTGACAAAAAAATAGAATGAAGAACGCCTAAAACGCGTTAAACTAAAATGCTTCAAGCAATTCTTCAAATATTATTTATAAATAAATGTTCAATGTTTACTTTTCACTATATCGTGATAAAGATATAAAGGTGAGAAAGTAAAACTTTGTAAAATTAAATGAAAAGTTTAACAGATGTACATCGATACATATATTAGGTCATCTAAAAAGTATCCGCGGTTTTTGTCACTAGATGGTGTTGATGGTCAACACATCTAGTGACAAAAAACCGCGGATACTTTTTAGATGACCCAATATATTAAACATATATATTTAATGAACACCCAATAACTCGATACTCACTTTCCGGTTTTGCTTTCGAGAATTATTGTTAGGGAATGAATTTCCTCAGATTTTGTTGTGCTTTATTCGTACACGACTTCACGTAAACTTGTAGTTTGGTTTGATGATTCCTCACGAACAATTTATTGTATTTCTACGTGATAGAATGCAGAGATTATCGTACGTATGCACACGATATGCAGCGCAGAATATATGCAGGTGAGTATACAAAGAATAAAAAAATAAGCTACTTCCGAAGAATTGGAAATTACATTGATACAAGAAGACATGATATTCTCAAGGTGCACTGCAGGATTTTAAAACATCAAATAACTTCAAAGTCGAAAATAGCGAATAGCAACGCAAAAAAAAATAATTTTCATAAGAAACACATTATTCGACAATCAGTAGAAAAGAAAAAGTTTCATGAGGCCGATTTTCGGCCTTGTTTAAATTTCATTTTAAACTATTAGAAACGTTTTATTATTGAAGAATTATTGAAATTATAGATCATCTGCTACCTGTTTACATCTAGGAGCCTAAATAACTGAAAATCGAATTTAAGTATAGGCTGCGGCCTAAATACACAGTGTAAACGTAATCAATGACATCAGATATATGCTTAATACTGTTTTGAAGTTAATTCGTCAATACGCTGCGTTCAGTTTTGGCGTTCACATGTTGTAAGCATGTAAGCATTCTATCTTTATCGCTCACTACATGTGGAAGGAAGGTAGAATGAAACTTACAGCGCGTAAGCGCTCAAAGCGAACGCACTTAGACAGTGAAAGAATTCCGATAACATCATTCGCTTTATATTGTACTACTGTGCAAACTGAGGGTGAAAACTGAGGGTGTATTGATTAATGAGCGGTAGTCTCTTATTCATTTTCTGTTAGTTCATTTGTTAATTCATTAGTGAAGCTTTAACGTTTTATATGTATATCTGTATCAAGCCATAATTCCGAGTAATCTATTCTCCCTATAGACCTGCACTAAATCAGTCATAAATTACTTTTTCAATATTACGGACATGCTTATATTTTAGTCACAGACACGTGTTTAATTAATAAAACATAGATACATCTTTTAATATTTTGTAACAATCGTTGAAATAGCTTGCATAACATTAATTTTGTGAGCTATTATTTCAAAGGAAACACTTAATGTGCGAAATATAACATCTTTAGAAAAATCTTCTTTTTCAAAATACGAGGTGTTCAAACTTAACTTATGATAATTATAAAAAAAAAAACAAAAGGAAATTGTCCATATAGATTACGTCATTTTTCAATATAGTTCAGTTTTTGCAATGTAAAACCGGCGCCATCAATAATTTTTGGAAAAAAGTCTCATAACTATATGCATTTTTTCGATAATTTCTTAAATAAATATTTTCTCCTAAAAATTCTGTCAATATATTAAAACTCAAAAATAGTGGATGTAGATTAACGATTCACTTCAATCTAGTTTGTACTAGTTAGCATCCGTGGAATCCGTGGAATCTAATACACACGCATATTCCAATATTATAGTTGGTTTTATATGAGAATTTGATCTATCAATATTGACATAAAAAATATTTAATGCGCCGATCACGATGCACATAAGTGAATAAGTGCATCAACTCAGTCAGCATTTTCTATCATTATCAATATTCTTCGCTGGGAATATAATTCATTCTCAATGCTTTATTTCAAAGGTCTTATTTATATCTTCAATCTTTTATAAATTTCCAAATGTATTTTAACATTTCCTTAATAAAAAATTGTATAATTCGTTATATTCCAAGCTTTTATGAATTTTATTTTGAAACTAACGTGGTTCTAATATTAACACATATAAAAAATAAGAGCATAAAAAACCACAGCACAAGTTATAGTTTGTGATATTTAATTATTATTACATTCATTAAAACATTAAACGTTTCGGCCACAATCTGGCCATCTTCAGTAATTCAATAATATTCTTAAAACGCAGAGTTACATCTAGTTGACATTAAATTTAACAGTCGAGAGTTGTAATTAAATAAACCTGTTCTTTTGTATGTGAAGATGCTTCATGCAGTAATGTTACACGGTCAATTGTCATATCAAGAAAAGTGTAGAACAAGAATTTCCTGATTCTAAATAAAATTGTATATATTAAAATCTTCTAGTCAGAAAGTCTAATAGTCAGTTTCTTCTAGTCAGAAATCTTCTAGTCAGTTTTATGAATTTTATTCATGTCTGTTATTTCGTACGTTGGCTGACAGTTCATTCAAAATCATGCACATTCCAAAATAACATGACACAGCTTTTACGTATGCTTCATTCTTTGAATGTGTCATTTTAATAAATTATAATTTAAAATCGAATACTCATAGACATATATAGCAAATAGCACTGTGTTATCGTGTATTTATGAACATAATGTCAAATGAATCAAGTATACTTCACCTATAACATTTCCCGATACTCAATAATATTTTTATAGTAACGCCTGCTTTGTTGTCACGTTAAATTTCAAATATAATGCGCCAAGTTTTGACGCCGAGGTGTCTACGTGCACGTGTCGCTGACGATTCCAGTTTTAGATGCGAGCTATGCCAGTATTCTTGCACGATACAGCCATTTTTCGAATTATATCTACTGACAGTATGAGCAGCATCACCAAATCGAGCGTTTCAATCCTGCTATCTAATAAATCACAACTTTATATCCAACGAAATTTATTAATCAAGAAATGTCAAAATTCATAAATCGCTAAAGAAAGAGGAAGATATTTATTTGTGTGTTTTATTTATCGAATAATACAATATTACGTACGATTTATTTGTTTGCCAATCTTTTTTTCATATGAAACATCGGAAACAAAATATAAAAAGAACAGCTCTCTTGCGTTTGTGATATAATATCTACCACTAATATTTATTATCAGCGTTTTATCAGTTATTATCGACTTCTTTAATTCTTTATGCTGACGCAGCAAAATTTTTCTGTCCATATTCTCCAAAGCGATCATTATTATATATTATATCATATTTTCATGTTTATTGGTGTTTTGTTTAATTTACCAATCGTTATTAAATTAGTTGTAAATTGTTAACATAAATCATATTTAATTATTACTTTCTCCTTATTTTGTTACATAACGTTTGTTTATATATATATATATATATATTACTATAAATGTAATTATAATATAATAATTAATTGGAAAAATCTATTACTCCAATCATATTCTTTGACATATATTTGTGTATGTAACAATAACGTAATATATACATATAGAAGATTCTAGTTATGTCGGATGTTCTTAGCTGCATTCCTATTATCAGCTGGCTCTTTGTTCTAACTTCAGTGATCATGGCGTAGCGCCAGTTCGAATTATGAGAGAGGCAACAGTTGCTAATTCATGCTAACATTATCTTTCGCTTCCGTCCATAAGACATTAAGTACGAGTATCATTTCAGTTTATCTCTTACAGATGTTACATTTTGAAGAAAATAGCGTGCAGAATTCTGTGACAATTGGAAATAAAGATATGTAGAAATTAGCACTCGTAATAAAATATTTACAAGTAACGAACTTGTGGCTAAATTAAGATAAACATTTTTTTTAAAACTATTTTTAAAACCGGATACCTATTAAGATATTTACAAATTAACAATTTGTAGAACCGTATAAGTGCATTTAAAATTAAACTCAACAGCCGGTCACTTCAAAGTCACCGTGAAAAAAGAAAAAAAAAAAATATACGAATATTTCTGTATACGCTATTTTCCATCAACATCGTCGAATGTGAGTGACTGAAAAAAGCGGCCCAGTAAAGGCGCGTCGCCAGCAACTCGATACTCCATTTTCCCGGCCATGTTTATAGAGTTACCTGCGTTCCTATCCTTCTATTCGCTCGACTGCCTGGTCTCTATTCTGGCTGCGACGTTATATGGGTTAGGGCCAACTCTGCCAAGACCGTCCCGCACCCACGCGCGCCCGATTCTCTCTTTTTGCACGCACACGACGAACGAAACCGCCTCGTGCTCACAAACTTACTTTCCGTGAACGGCGCGTGTAGCTGTTGTGTGCAGCGCGAAAATGAACTCGCACTTGATCCGCTAAAACCTCTCGCGCATCCGCCGAACTTAGCGAAACTTCGACGCTAATAAAGCCGGTGACATTGAGCGCGGTGCGCTCTCAGATCCCAAGCCAGATTTGCGAGATGATCGTTTGTGTGTAGCGGAAATGGTCACCGAATTAGTCGCGTCGCCTCGTATCATCGTAATTGCCGACGTCTTTATGACATGTCTGATCTTATTATCCAGTTATTAATATTCCCGGATAATCAAACGTCGTTTATTATCAATTATTAAGAGATCTTACGCAGATATAAAAAATGTGATTTAACACAAATCTAAATGCCTGAAAAATTATAAAATTAAAAGAAAAGGATATTTTTGAGACTTTCAAAAAAAAAAGGCTTGAGAAATAATAAGAGAGAGAAAGTGGTCATTTAATCAAATTGTCGAAATATCAGATCCGAAGAACCTGTGTAAGAAAAGATTAAATCGTGTTAATTATTACACATATTATGAATGTGAATTTTTGTAAAAGCGGCAAAGAAAAAATTAAAAATTAATTGGAATCATAGAGAATATTAAATTTCGTGGTCTGTAGTTTTGTAGAAATGTGTACAATCGTAATTCTACCTGGAAGCATAATAAATGCTTAGATTTATAGATCTTTCTGGCGCCTCTGGTCTGTTGTTTTCAAACATATACTCATGAACTAGTGTTAACACATTGTCCAATAATGTTTTAAAATAAAATATTAAGTAAAATTGAAATTTCAAATCACATCTTATTTATTAATTATCGTATTCAACAAAACAATGTGTAGAACACATTGCTAATAATTTTTTCAATATGAATTGTAAAAATAAAAAAAATTTTACGTTGTAAAAATAAATATTATAATGGAGAAAAATATAGAAAAAAATATAAATTGTGATAGATATAGATGTTATCATATTGTGTAATTGGAAATTTTAAGAACGTCATTTATCTTTTTTTCAATCTAACTAATTTTATTAATCAAGAGTGTTTAATCAAATAGCTAATTAAGCTAATTAATGCTCGCGTTTACCAAATTCTTTTTTGTCTTTTCCAATTGTTGTTTAATTTCACGAGCTGGATGGAAAAGCATCTAACCCGGAGTTAATAAAAAGGGTTCACCGTCGATCGGCGCGACTCAGCGCCTCGAACACGATGTGGGTGTGACCTGGTTTGCGAGAGTTTCACTTTCCTGTAACATCGTTGCACGGAGGAGGTAAGGAGGATTCGACCCCAGAGTTACGTCATGCATTGTTATGCCGGCCGTAACGACTCGTAGTCGTACGTGCGGAACTCTGCGGGAATGAAAATCAGCGAGAGACAAGAAAGACCGCCTTATATCCCGTGAATCGATCGTTGTCGATCGATAGTCTCCGATGATCTTCTACACGTATGATCACGTAAATCGTACATTCCGATCGATATTGTTCAGACGACAATCATAGCTACAAATGTGCGTGTTCGAAATCCTAAAAAATTTCAAAATTTCAGGAGCTAAACACCTAGATGTGAAAATAGATTTTTATTAGATTTTCAAAATCACAGTAAATCATCACAGTAAATTTTCAGTAATTTTTTAATATATTATTGCAATCTTAATAAAAAATTATAGATTTTATATAATTACAAAACAAGCAGATTAATAGAAATAAATAAATAAAGATTAAGTCAATGAATAAGTTAAATAGATATGTTTTATTTGCGTTTGCAATGTCTCGTTTTTTCCTTAATTCTTCGAAGAATAGTACTGAACAACTATTACTATTACTTACAAAAATAAGAAAATTGTATAAAATTATTAAATCGCTACAAAAAATTAAATTCATAATATCTAATTGAATACATATACATAAATTAAATTCATATAATCGTTCTTAATCATGTACTCATTCAATATGATACGAATCTGCTTTGTCGGTTCTCCTCTCCAGGATACATTTTCTTGATATATGGATGCATTTTTTCACCATAATTGAATACTGTTATTCTAATTTGACGGACACAATAAAACACTGGTGTCGGAACGCATAATGCGTATGCTTCTACGTGAGCGTCTGCGCGTGGGTACGCGTATCCACGTATATATCCTCACCACGATCTTCGAGTGTCGGACTGGCAAGTATATAAAAGAGCGTTCTAGCGTGCGACCTATATTCCACGCCTGCATCGCTATATTAGACGCGTACGACGCATCAGGGACGCGCTCGAAAGCGTCTCTCTCTCCCCCCCCCCTCTCTCTCTCTCTCTTTCTTTTTCTCTCTTTTCCACCTGCTGCGAAACAAACCCAAATTCAATAAAAATTCCTCCGTTATCCGCTTTCGTGTTACGTTCTAATTCTTGAGATAGATTGTACGATTAATCACGAAAATGTACAAGTAACGCGATACACGTAGAACGATAAGCCGAAAACTTAATTTCATTTTTGTTAATTGTTTCTCTCCAATAAACATGTGTAATATTTTCTAAGATAAAAATATTACAAAAAGAAATAAGCGG